AGGAAAACCAAGAAAGGGAAAGGGGAAAGGGGGAAAGGAAAGGGAAAGGGGGAAAAGGGAAGGGGAAAGGAAATCAGGATCTCTATAATGCCTGTAACTTTATTAAACTTTTCTGGTGTGTTACAGCGTTTTGCCTCATTCCTTGCTGCACCCTGGAGGACAGATACTCAGGTGGTAGCAGACGTGGTAGTAGGCACCACAAGGTATACAGAAAAGCTTTTATAATTACAATTTAAATTTAAATGCCTGTTGCATCAAACACTAGTGTAAGAAGTTATGTCAGAGATCAAGTAGCAGCCAAAACTTGCAGCATAATGGTCCAAACTTGAAGATATTCCCTGCAGAAGCCTTGTCTCCTAAGTCAGTTCATCTATGCAGATAGAGGGGTTAGAGAGAGACCTTCTATGCATAAAAAGTAGCTAAAATTCACCCCTCTTCACTGTTATATTGCCTATTTCATGAAGTCTCTGTATATATTAGCAAATAAAATAAGCACATAACACGAAGTGTCTTCTGTTTATCCGTACTACTTGTTGATGATCAGGACCTCGCCTGGTACATCTGTGGCTCATTGCAACCAGCTTTCAAACAGGCAGACTCCTGAAAAGCCCATGGAGACATCCTTAGGCTGAGACATACCATTACAGGTGGGTTAGAGAGTGCCTGCACAGCACAGTACTTCTGGAGCTCTTTCTTGCCCTCAGACATCATTCTAGTGCAATTCAGTTTAGATAAAATATCCATCTGAAAAAAGGTCTAATGGGAAATGAACCTTTTTCATGACCCTCAAAAAGAAAAAAGGGCATAGCCTAATGTCCCAAGTATGCAAGCTGCACCGACTTCAGGTATAACCCAGCATTATCTATTTACTTGTTTGGCTCCTTGCTGACATATGTCAAGAAAAATGGAAAGTATCAGAAGACTAAGATCAAAAAATCTAAAAGAGATCATGAAGAACGGGGTTTTTCTCACTGAACTTTGGATGCCTAGGAGCAAGATGTCTACAACTGAGCTACTCCCTTTAAATTCCTTTGTGGGTTCTGGAACCCGAAGGCAGGTATATTCTTCTTTAAGAGGAGATAAAATTACGGAGTTTAAACTCAAAATGAAAACTGCATTTGTAAAAGCAATTTTTCATCTTTTACTATTTCTTGTGAAGACTAACTGCACCGAGCTTACAAAAGACTGTCAATCTCAAACATTATTAAATCACCAAAGTTATTCTTTCTCTGCCTCAGTTCACTTATTCAACAACCAGAGATTAATCTTCTGGCCTCTATCGTTCTTTTTATTTACTTTCTGATAACAGAAAATTTTTTCCACAGCCAAACCCCAAAACACTGTTTTAAAGAAAGAGACAAAATTTGCTTACTTTTTAAAAGGAAAGCTACATGGCAACTCCCAGAGAGCAACTGGGAAGAGCAGCCTAAGGTGCTCAGGCATCATAGACAGGGGGTATCTGAGAGCTACATATTTACGGTGAATGACCTCTGAATGACATCAAGAAGGAATTAGGCAGCCAGTGAATCCCTGAGACGGTGTCTCACAACAGGAGCCAGTGAGGCTGCCATTCTGCAGGGCTTGTCAACAGTAAAATCCTGAGAGGTGGAACATGTTTCCACCTTTACTGAAAGTAGTATGTTTTAATGACCACAGGTCTGACTTTAGGCACCTAGAATCCCATGCTTCTTTACTCTTTTTTAGGCAAATTCCACTATATATTCCCGTAAATCATGTAAAGTCACCTAAGCTAAAGATCCATCTAGTCTTATGTTTCAAGGAGGAAACTCTTCAAGGCCAACTTGAACAGACTTCACTGTTGCAGAAGTGGACACTGAGAGTGGATAGCCTGTCTTGCGCTGCATGGTAGAACAAAAAAAAAATAAAAAAAAAAATTAAAAATTAGTGGTTTATTTCTGTAGGTCCAAGAAATGACCTTCAAGTTAGGTGTTCAAGGCATAAAGCGTCACATCCAAACATTGTACATATCCAAATTGTTAGAAACAATTCAACTGCATTATTTATCACTTATCAGCCAGGCTAATCACCCAATCTAATCACCTGACCTAGCACTTCACACCCTCACCTGCTCATTACTCTCTCTGCACAATATGGTGCTGGGAAACATGCACAGATCCAAAATATAGGAACTTACATATTTTAAAGCCAAATATATGGTAACTTTATTCATTTTTATGAAACAAGCAATATATGTTTCAAGCAGAAAATACTTAATTGGCTTACTTCAGGACTCTGATCAGTTTCTCTTGTCCTATACTGGTTCTTTCCAAGATCTCATCAAAGAACTTTCCATTTTTGTGATGGATGCTATTTTCATACTTTCACTACTAATCATCTCAAGGTTTTTAAGATTTCAAGATCTGGTAATGAAGTAGTGGAAGCATTTCACAAATAAAGCCCTAATCCTGGGAGATCTTTCATGGTTAGGTTCTCGATCTTTAACCTATCCTTTCTTTTTAGATTTACCAACAACAGTGGACAGATTTTTGGAAAATTGCCTGCTTGTTTGATCCTCCAGTGGACCAAAGGATCCAGTTTGATCCTTCAGCGGATGCATGTCAGGCATTCCATGAAATTTTTGTATGTTTCATCCTGGCTCCAGCCCTCCTGCAACAGTATCCTTCATACTATGTGGACTATGGTGTTCCTTAGCCTGGACCTGTTAAACATTTGTTATCTCCTACAGTTAACGTGGTGTTTCTCAGGCTCCCCTTCGCTGCAGCAGATTGTTAGCCCTCCAGCATCTTTCTCCTTGCTCTCTGAGATCTCTCTTTCAGCTCTACAGAATTAAGTATTTTCTGTACCCCTGAAGAGTTGGTAACATCAACCCATAAATTTCAACAAAACCTCAGGCACTACTAGATCACAAATAATTTTTTAAGTATTTCTTCCCTGACTAGGCATACAACCTAAGCAGAAATCCACTAAACAAATAAGTTTAACCTCCTTACACAGAAAACATGTTCCTTTTAGCAGCTTATTCAGAAGAATAAACTCCTTTACAAGTTATTTTTGGTTGAGAGAAAATATATTCATACCAACAGAGCTTCTTCCCTAACAGGTCACTTTCCAGTTACATACACTTTTTTGAAGCAGTGGAAGTCATGCCTTTGAAAGGGTTCCTGCTTTATCCCAGATTCATTTAAAAGAGTTTCACATGTCAAATGTAAGATGCATTTCCTTGCTTTTGATTTCTCTTTCATGCATTTAGCCTTTCTACTCTCTGTATTGTCTATTCACATTTTTTCAATAAAAGTCAATATAAAAATAAAGCCAAGAAAGATAAATAACAGGGGTTCATTGCATTCCTGTGTAGCTTGCTAGCTGCATGATAAACTCACTCAATTGAATTTCAGGCTCCAGTGGTTCTCTTCAAAGCTCAAAATACTCAATAATTTTACATTTCACTTGAAAAAAATTCTCTGAGCACCCTTCTACCTAAGCACAGGTCAGTCACGCCAGGACTAAAAGCATCTCCTCGCAGTGGATGTCCACTCACTCCATAATTATGGGTATGTCCATTATGTCGGCAAATGGTTCTTTTCCTATTTGACAATAAATACTTTTCCTGAAGTTTACTGAAAGGTGTTGTAATGTGTAAACACTCAATCTTTATCAAGCACACTTTATTCAAACCTGTCCTTTCCTACCCAAGGATTACGTTACCACAAAATCCACTAGGCCTTGTCTACACTGGAATTGTCACCATGGATTAGTTTCCTCGCTTTATTTGCAGCGACTTACCTATATCAAATTGAAATGCATCCGTACAACTCTGCTATGTCAGCCTAAGATACTTTCCTTGTTAATCATTGCATCCACAACTTTACGCTTGTTTGAATTAGCTGCTCAGCATTATAAGCATTTATCAAGTGCCTCAATGTTAAATCACTCAGGTCTATAATTTTCAGCATGTTGTGGTACGTTTACAAGAAACTACAGGAATCCTGGGACTGAGGTCAAGTGAGCAGACTCCAAGGAGCCTCCTGTCCCACCAGAACTGCTTCCTGACTGCTCTTCATCAGCCCAGAAAGCGCAACACAGAGGCTCTGCAATTTGGAGACTTGTTGGCACAAGCTGGGTGGTAGATACAAATTTTCGTCTGTGAATTTGGCCCCTCAGTTTCCATGGATCAGGACCTTCCATCAGACGTAAAGCAAGCATCATCACACACAGCACCTTGCAGGGCTTGGTGGCTTATCCCAGTCCTCACGTTCTTCCTGGCCTCAAAGCACCTTCCAGCACATGAAGGAAACTTACAAGAAAGATGGGGCAAGACTATTTACAAGAGCATGAAGTAAAAGGACAAGGGGGAATGGGTTCAAACTGAAAGAGGGTAGGTTTAGATTAGAAATCAGGATGAAATTTTTTACTGAGAGAGTGGTGAGGCACTGGAACAGATTGCCCAGAGAAGCTGTGGTTGCCGCACCCCTGGAAGAGTTCAAGGCCAGATTGGACGGGACTCTGAGCAACCTGGTCTGCTGAAAAGTGTCCCTGCCCATGGCGGCGGGTTGGAAGTAGATAATCTTTAAGGTCTCTTCCAACTCCAACCATTCTATTGATTCTATGACTCGGGGGAATTAAAAGGATTAAAACAGACCATTTACTCAATTCAGCACGGTGAAACCTGAGCAGAGGATAAGTTTTATTAGGGTAGAGGAGATCACCCTTGTCACCGCCTCAGCACGGGCACTGCACCAGCGTTCCCCATGGCGTTGTGCTTCCCGAAAGGAAGGCCGCGCGGAGGCCGAGAACTCCGTGGGTCCCCCAGGCCCATGACGGGACAGCGGCGGCCCCGCAGAGCCGTGAGGGGCCGCGGCTCCCGCCCGCCCCCCAGGGGAGCGCTGCAACAACGCGCGGCGCCTTCGCTCCGCCGGGCGGCGGCTTGGCCCCGCCGGCTCGCCGTACCGGGGCTGGCGGGGGGCCGGGGCCGCAGCGCGCCCGCGGGGCTGCCGTGCTCGTGGGGCCGGGCCGGGCGGGCTGAGCCGAGCCGAGCCGAGCCGAGCCGGGCTGGACCGGGCCAGGCCGGGCCGGGCCGCCGCGATGGCGCAGCACGGGCCGAGCGTCACGCTGTCCCTCACGCTGCCCATCACCTGCCACATCTGCCTGGGCAAGGTAACGGCGCCGCCGCCGCCCCCCGGCCCCCGCGGCCCCGGGCCCGGGTGCGCGGCGCGGAAGGCGGGGAGCGGGGCGGTCCGGCCGGCGGCGGAGCTCAGGGGCCCCGCCGTGGCGGCCTGACCCCCTACCGGAGTTGTCTCTTTTGAGGGGAAGGAAGTTGGGGTGAGGGGTCGCTTCTCCCCTGGGGGCTGTTCCCGGCTGCGGCCGAGGTTTGTTGGGCGCGCTGGAGTGTCGGGAACGCGGTGGGAGCGTCCCGGGGGCTGTTGCTGGGGGCTCGGGGCCCGAGGCCGCCCAAACGCGGGTGTGCGGCTCCCGAGGGGAAGGGTTTGAGGTTTGGAGTCTTTTCCTTCCGGTCCCGGTAAGATGCTGTGCATCAAAGCGCTCGGTGAGCCTGTGTTTGAGCGTGGCGCGGTGTCGCGGAGTACGAGTGAAACAAAGAGGGGACGTGTTGCCAGGTGGATTTAAAATGTATTGAGCAAAAGTGCAGCACTCTGGAGAAAAAGTTTTCGGTTTTCTTTTTCTGACCCTTTCTCAGTCCTTTTCTCCCTCGGGAACCAGACGGCTCTTGGCTAGTCTGTTCCTCTGTTAAAGTCCCAGAGCTAATTTCGTAGTGGTCACTAATTGCTTCTCAAATTCTTTTCTCATTCCTCATACTCTTTTTTGTTTGTTTGTTTTCTTGCTCTCCAAAACAAAACTAACCTCTTAAAGCCCAACAGTAAGAAGCGAAGAAATAGCCTTTTATGTTTCTGCTCAGGGCATTTATTGACTGGTTTGTTTCTGCCTCACCTGGTCTTTATTCCCAGACCTTCTCTGCTGGAGTGATGACAAAAGAGCAGGCGCGGGCGCGCTTGATTTATAAAGTGGGTGTAGCACTGACAATGAAAGTAATCAGACTTTTCTCAAGTCTTTTCTTAACTCTGACAGAGTTACTTTTGGCAATCATGTTTACTCATTTCTTGGCTTTTCTGGGGAAGCCGAGCAAGACTTCCAGGCTGTTGTCCTGCTACCCTCCTTTTCTATTTATCTCTTTAATGAAAATGGAGGAGAACACAGAAGTGTGCCTGTAATGCAGAGAGGCGAGGAGGGCAAAATCAAACCAACAAGGTATTTTCAATTTGAATCCAATCCTAGTTACTTTGTAACAGTTTGGTTAGGTATTCATTCATATCTTTCTATAAAACCACTGGGTTATTTCAAGCCATTGTTTCATACTTCCACTTCTTTTCTAAAGTTGGTCAGGAATTGTTCCTGAGTTTGTACTGGAAGAGATTTCCACACTCTTTCTTGCTATCTTGCACTGAGATAATACATTATGTCAGTGAATCTATGGGTGCTACCTGTAGTAAAGGTGTTTGAATGCTTTTGGTTTTAGATGTGTGAAGCTGTTTAAATTTTGCCAAAGTTGACAGCTCTGACCGTCCTTTCTTCTTAATGCGCATCTTTGCCTCTAGCTTGGAATTTCATTGAAAAACTTAATCAGAAAAAACTCTTCTCAGGAGTAAGGTTAGTGTAAGAAAGTTGTTTAGTTTAAATTAAGGAAAATGTCTTGTAAGTTTTGTCCTGTCTTGTAGGGTGAAGCAGAGAGTATTGTGGAGAGTTGACTTAATCTGATGCTTCTGTGGTTTGTAGCATAGGCTTCAAATCCAGTAGAAGGCCCACTCTGCAATCAGAATGTACTTCCTGCTATCCTTGAAATATTTGCAAAGGTCTGACTGCAAAATAGAAATTACTTACTGTGTGTAATGGTAAGGTGATAAAAAAAAGAGATACTGCAGAGAATCTCATTCAATAACATTGTTTCTAACAAAGCAGAAATCTTGGGCAGGAAGGACACCTTAGCTCCTTTTGTTAACTTCAGCAGTGTCAGTAAGTATATTGGCAAGATGTGTAAATAACCATTTATAATAAGAGCTAATTGCTTGGATCAATTTCATGTTTGTGAAATTCTTTTAACAAGGTCTGGGCTGTCTTCTAATGTATCCATATTTATAATTAGTAACCATATCAGAAGCCATCTGCATTGGACTGTTATGTTTACTTGTCCCAGAATGTCTGAAGGTCTCTCAGACCTGTTGGTTTTGGTGTTGACAGTTTGCTTGGGCCCGAGCACACAGTTCTGTGTTGATTGAAACTGCATAGGATGTCTGGGGATTTGTTCACTGATATCAGTGTGCCTGCTTTTCCATGTGCCTACTCCTCTGTTAATCCTGCTTGAAGGTCCAGAAGTGCCTTCAAAGTGACATAGATGTGTACAGGATTTGATTTTGATCTGCATAGGAATTGCATTTTGTGGGAGGGGAAAAATTGCTCAAAAGGAAAGAGGAAATTGCTCAAAATTACCTAGCTGATCAAGTCTTCTCAAATGAGCTGTAGTCTTTGTAGATATTATGGTCAATTAAGGAACTGAAACTGAGCTGTAATTCAAGTAAAATGCTTTTTGAGAATGTCATGGTCCCCCACCCCCCCAGGCTTGTCATAGTTGGTGGCTTAGGAACTGCACGAAGGGCAGCAGCACCCCCAGCCACTGTGTGAGATCAGTAGGGCTTTTAGTTGGATTGTTTTGCGTGGATCCTGAGCCAACAAAAGTACAAAACCCAGGCCTGGAATGAAACCTGTAAAGGTGTGTAAATCAGAAGCACTGTACCCTGGAGAGTAATAAATGTGACTTACTATTTTGCTAGAGATATGGAGTAATCATTCACTTGCAAGAAATGTGCTTCTGTATCAGGTTTGGGGTAACTGAGGGTCTCTTGCTCTCCAGGGGTAAGACCTGCACTCCTGAAATGTCTTTTCCTGTTTGGATTATTTTATGTTATTCTGTTATGTATCTTATCATCACCATCCATATAACTATTCTCAGACTGCTTCTGAGTAAGAAGGAAGTATGGCTAGAGAAAAAGCTCTGGTTTGGGGTGGGGTTTTTTTGATTTGTTTTTTTGTGGGGGAGGTGTGTGAGGGGGTTGTGCTAGCTGCTGGTAAGAAAGCTCTTTTTCTGTTAAAGAAAAGCAGTAAATAACAAGATTTTTTAAAACAATGGAAATTGTAATAGTTAAAATTTTCCAAAGCAGTGGTGCTTGCAATAATCACAAAAAAATGTTGATTATTACAAAAATCCTCTCCTTAGAGGTGAAGTTCAGTCTCTCTCCATTCAGACCTTCAGTAACTTGAGCATCTGTTTATGTATAGATAGTTCCTGTGGCTCCCAGGACTTTCATATTGGAGGTCCTAAAAATATTGTGAATCATGTAAGAGGCATAGGTAGTGAATTGGATAAGAAGCTGACGGACCTGGGCCTTAATTCATATCCACGTGTATTTCAGTGTATATCAGTGTATTTCAGTGGTGAAAAACAGGACACATCTAGTCTGTTTGCCCAAGTGATTATTGGCTATCATTTCCATGTCCTTGCTTTTCCCTGCCAACGTTTCATTTTACTTTTTAGTTTGACTACTAATAGAATGAAGAGGAATATCTTGAAAGAGCAGTATCTTGGGGGGTGATGAGGACTTCATTTAAAGTTGAAAGGATTCTCTTGAACTTAGGTTTTAATTGTAGTACAATAGAATCTGAAGTAATATACACTGATGCTTCTGTGTCTTAAAATATGTTTCTTGGGCAAAGAAGGAGTGGAGGAAAAACAAATAATTATTTTTAAGACCCCTAACACAGATACTAGTGTTAATACCTAAGAGATTTTGAGAGCGTGTATTACAGTAAGCTGGCACAGAAGCTGCAATAAGGCATGAAGTCTTTTCCTTCCACGTCATATTTGGTCCCTCTACGCACTTTTACTTTCAAACAGGGTTTATAGTTAAATGACAAGAGAGACTAATGCCTTGTCATTAATATTTTCTGTAAGTTTGTTTACCCTGCTGTTTCAGAAGGGGAACGAAAGCTTCTTGAAAGAATCTGTGTCTGATTGGAATATTTAATCCTTCAGTTAGCTGCCCCATTCTTGGGTAATGACTTATTTAGTAGCAATGCATATCTAGCAGGAGGCTTGAATTAGTGATTGCTGGTTCATGTTTCAGCTCTGTGGTTTTGGCCCTGATCCTTTTTAAAGCTGATTTCCATGAAGCTGATTATGTGCAGGCTAAAGTTAATCTGTAACACTGTACATTTCAATGACACCTCTTTCAAGGCAAAGTGTTGGTTGTTGCCAGGAGAAATCCCTTTTTCCCTTACTTTTGAAAATCAGTAAATGTGGGTCTTTTGGTCTCCTTCTCCTCGGGAAGCTAATGCATTTCACTGGAGCAGTTGGCTGTAGTTCTTGGAGGTTGTGGGGTGAAGGAAGGGCGCTGCTCCCACACTGTGTGTTAATGAGCTCTTGGACCTTGGTTTGGTGCCTTCAGTAATAGGGAAGTTTGGTGTTTGAGTCAGGAGGTCACTCCTAGCTAGTCCTGTGGAACAACACTGTCACTTTCCTGCAAGACCAGACTTGCATTGAGAGATGTAGTTGTGTATTTTCGTATTTTGTTACCTGAGTTTTAAAGTATTCATAGTGTTTTTCTGTTTGGGTTTTTTTTTCCCCCCCTTAATACTAAAAGGTCCGTCACCCAGTTATCTGTGTGAACAACCATGTCTTCTGTTCCATTTGTATTGAAGTGTGGCTGAAGAATAATAATCAGTGCCCAGCCTGCAGGATTCCCATCACACCCGACAACCCCTGCAAGGAAATTATAGGTAAGGACAACTTTAGGCTTTAAAGTAACTTTCTGATATTTTACTGCTGAAGGAAATTGCTTTGAGTCCAAAGATGTCTGGATACCTTTTCACCTGTGTGTTTTTTACCAGCATCTAAGGAAGAATTAACTTTAAATCTTTCCAGAAATATAATAATAATAGCTACAAGGTTACAGTTCCAAAGACATTGTGTATATTAAGGCTTAGATTATTCAATAGTAATCATACCCCACACCTCTATTGATTTTTTTTAAATCTTGATTGGATGGGCCCTTAACTGGAAACAATGTATTCTCACTTGAAGTACTGCACCTATGTATTGCAACCTGCTGACCTAAGAGAACAGCATTTAGCTGAGAAATACCATACCTTCAATCCGGAATCTTGAATGAGTGTGTGGCATTTTTTACTTTTTGTTTGTTTGGTTGGTTTGTTTTGTTTGCCACTTCCTCCCTTTTGCTTTATTTTTAAGAAAATTACTCTTAGCACAGAAATATGACAAAGCTACAGCATTTGAATGAGAACCTGAACTTCCAGAGCTAGGAAATACTGCAGTCTTTATTTAACGTAAAATGTCAGCTCTGCTATTTCATTCTGAGAGAAAAAATATATCTGAACAATCTCACTTTAACTACTTACACTGTCTTGTACTAATTAAATGTAGGCTTGATATTTCACCCCCTCCCTTCAGCTCTGTTTTAATAGTATTGTCTTAAATAAGATAGGATTCTGTTAACAAAAATAAAAAGTTAAAAAATGTAAAATTTTTCTTCCTGCTGTGAGTCAGGATTTTGACTTCTAAACACCACTAGTAGATACTCAAGTTGAACGTTTTCTGAAAGTGAAAGAACTTTAAATCTCCAATGGTAGGCAGTTGGTCCAATATTAGCTGCATTCATAATATGAAAAAAGTGTTGTGAGGTGGATTACTAGTATTGAATTGACTGAAGAAGAGACAATATCAGTGCTTCTGTCATCCTGTGTTGCTTTAGGAGGAACAAGTGAAAGTGATCCTATATTTAGTCCGGCAGTGAGGAAACACCTACGTAAAACAAGGCTTGAATTGCTCCACAAAGAATATGAGGTAAGGACAGGGGGGGTGTTGTGACTTTCCAGATGAACTGCAGCTGTTAAATTGCTGCATACAAATGGTCCTTTTGCTTTCAGTCCTGTTGGTTTTAATTTGAGTAAAGGTTTATACTGTATCTATGTTAAATTCAATTGCATTAAAATCCCACCTTTTAACTCAGGTTACAAGACAGCATTTGCTGGTGCTTGAAGTGGCCCCACTGAAGTCATGGAAATAGTCTTTCCAGGCTACAGATAGTCGAGTACAACCAATTCTTTAGTTTTGTGGAAATTCTACCACCAGGTGGTATGGGAGGGTTTTCTTTATGCATTCTGGGTTTGGGAACTTTTTGTTTTGACTTCAATACAAATGCAAACATTTTTTGAAGTAATTCCCTCTTGCTCAGGGAGACTAAATTCCTTCTTAAGAATATTGTCCACTGTAGCCTTCTGGCATAGGTTAATTTTTAGCATTATTGTTTCACTGTGTTCTGAAAGTGAGTAAATGCTTCAAAGTGGAGCTTGAATGCTTAACTCTCCTGCTGGAAAAATACTCTCTTGGGAAGAAGATGAGAAGCTGTTAATAAGGAATATGCTTAGTTTGTTTTCTCAGCTGTTGTTCCCTTAGTAGCAGCAGCATGAAGACATCACATATTTTTTAAGAAAACCTGTCTAGGGGATGAGAATGAGGGAAGGGAAATGGACTCTATACATCTTTAACACTGGGGAAGTAAAAGCTATCTTTTATAACAAGCTTGCCTGTAGTTCAGGTTCTTTTGTCCTGTATGAGAGAAGAAGTCAGGAGAAAGAGATTTCCTTCCCTTCTATTGAATCAACTCCAAATTCAAACAGCTAGGCATAGAATTGTAGAATCAACCGAATTGGAAAAGACCTCTGAGATCATCAAGTCCAACCCTTGATCCAACACTGCTGTGGTTACTAGACCATGGCACTAAGTGCCGTCTCCAGTCTTATCTTAAAAACCTCCAGGGGCAGTGAATCCACCACCTCCCGGGGCAGGCCATTCCAATGTCTGATTACTCTGTCTGTAAAAAATTTCTTCCTAATATCCAACATAAACCTCCCCTGGCAGAGCTTAAGATCATGCCCTCTTATCCTACTGCTGGTTGCCTGGAAGAAGAGACTGACACCCACCTGGCTACAACCTCCTTTCAGGCAGTTGTAGAGAGTGATGAGGTTACCCCTGAGCCTCCTCTTCTCCAGACTAAACAACCCCAGCTCCCTCAGCCTCTCCTCATAGGACTTGTGCTCAAGTTCCTTCACCAGCCTCATTGCTCTTTTCTGGACCTGCTCCAGAACCTCAATGTCCTTCCTGAACTGAGAGGCCCAAAGCTGAACACAATACTCAAGGTGTGGCCTCACCAGTGCAGAGTACAGGGGCAGAATCACTTCCCTGCTCCTGCTGGCCACACTGTTCTTGATCCAGGCCAGGATGCCATTGGCCTTCTTGGCCACTTGGGCACTCTGCTGGCTCATGTTCAGCCTCCTGTCAATCCAAACTCCCAGGTCCCTTTCTGCCTGACTGCTCTCCAGCCACTCTGTGCCCAGCCTGTAGCGCTGCAGGGGGTTGTAGTGGCCAAAGTGCAGGACCCAGCACTTGGCCTTGTTGAACCTCATCCCATTGGAATCAGCCTAACTCTCTAGCTTGTCCAGGTCCTCTGCAGAGCCCTCCTGCCTTCCAGCAGATCAACTGCAACTTGGTGTCATCTGCAAATTTGCTAACGGTACACTCAATCCCCCCATCCAGATCAATCAGTAAAGATATTAAACAGGACTGGGCCCAACACTGATCCCTGGTGGACACCACTGGATGCAGCCCCGTTCACCACCCTCTGGGCCCGGCCCTCCAGCCAGTTCTTAACCCAGCACAGAGTGCCCCTGTCCAAGCCATGGGCTGCCAGCTTTTTGAGGAGTATATTATGGGAGACAGTGTCAAAGGCTTTGCTGAAGTCCAGATAGACATATCCACAGCCTTCCCCTCATCCATCAGGTGGGTCACCTGGTCATTAAAGGACATCAGGTTGATCAGACAGGACCTGCCCTTCCTAAACCTGTGCTGGCTGGGTCTGATCCTCTGTCCATCCTGTAGCTGTTGTGTGATTGCACTTAAGATGATCTGCTCCATAACCTTGCCAGGCAGAAGGATAACATAGATCTCTTAAAAAACCCTGAATTTAAAATGGCTGTACCCATGACAGGGGCAGAGGCAGGCTTGATTATTTGTGAAAATATGCCTTGAATTTGTATCAATGCTATATATGCTATATATACTACCTTTAGTAGTCTGACCATGAACAACTCAGGTATTCAAGTTGGTGAACAGTGTAGAAGACACGTTTTCAGGATGAATTATTTCTTTTATCCCTTTAACAAACCTTTTGAAAGTTTTTGCTTCTTGTAGTTCAGACTGCTACAGCTGAGAGGTCTGTTCCTTGCATTTTGAGAGTCTTTCCTAAGGTGTTGCTACTTTGGTGTAGCTGGAGCAGCCTTTTTCAGGCAGTGTTCTGTCCATTTTGAGTCTTGAGGCTTTCAGCATCTGAACATGTGATGTTTCCAAACGATATGAGAGAAACACTCTTATAAAACAGCAAATGAGTCAGCAGAGGACAGCCTTAAGAACGCTCCTGATACAGGAAATCCTCCCACAGAGTGCCCTAATAATAGATTCATGTTGCTGAATGCTTTGAAGCTTTTGGTCTGCCCGCCAGTTTGTTTGGGGTCCTTTATGTAGTCGAGGGATTCCCCTCACTAAAATCTTCACTGTGCTTGAGTGTGCAGGTTGATTAAAATGCTGCCTAGAGCACGATATGTAAGCATACTTAGATATATATGTAAGTGAAGGCATGCATCTGGGCTTGCCAGAACCCATGTTTCTAAAGTGCTGTGGGAACTTCTCAGTATTATTCAATTAATCTCACAAATTATTTTAATTTCTGTGAATTTCTGACACCTTTAGGATGAAATAGAATCCCTGCAAAAAGAAGTAGAAGATCTGAGAGGTAAAAATCTCAGCTTACAGACACAGCTGAAATCTCTTCTGGATCCTACAGCATCAGCTCTGTCTTGCCAAAATGAGGAAACTAACCAGTCAGCAAATGAAGCAAGTACCAGTGGCCCAGAAACAGCAGAGGAATGGAGCAAAAAGCTGAAAGCTGCCAATGATATGTATGAAAAACTGATGGATAATGTGGAAAAGCTAAAGGAGGTAATAAATGCAATAAACACATTCCTTCAGCTATCTTGTAGTGTAACTGTTTTGTGTTAGTTAAATGGGAATGAGAGCTAGCATGACCTCTGGGTACTTCATAGATCCAGAAGAAAGAAAAAAAATTGAATTCCAGTGACTGTTGTTGTATCATAGTATTTCCATATAGGCCTTGCAAGTGTCAGATGTTATTGCTTGTTCTAGTGAGTCCTGTATGTGACTGCTCTTCAACTCCTCCGTCACTCTATGACTGGGTAATTGGATTACAGTAGCATTTGTCAACAGTATTGATGACCAGATTTTTCAGGCTTGCAATAATCTATATAATATATCTATTTTACAACATTCAGTGGGCAAACACAGTACAGTTGGCTGAGGCAGATTTTGCACTATTGCCCTCCCTGCTAGCCGATATTTTTGGTGCAATTTGCTGAGACAGAGTAACTTGACCCTTTGACCAAAAATAGACAAGCTTCAGCATTTTATGACCAGAAGATCCTTTACTGGAAACCTGCAACCTTTTTATACATCTTGATGTAATATAAAAAAAAATCTGATACTGCAGAAGCAGGAATGCAGGACATAGACATGTGAAAATACATATAAATAAAAACATCTTGCAAAATATACTTGTGGGCACAAGAAGGATCACCTCAAAAATTGAAGAAGAGTGAAATTTCAAAATTAATTTGAAATCAAGGTAGAGAGAACTGGACTTGCATTTATTCAAAATGCTGCCTTTATTTTTTCTATTAACAATCCTGAGTTGCCTCCTGCAAAAATGAAGTGTGATGTGTTTAGGACTCTTTTTTTAACTTTTTAAGTATTAAAAGTGTTCACACTTATTCTGTGCTACAGACTCAGAGGCACAGATTATACTGTTCTACTATTCCGTAGTTAATAGGACACTTCTAGGACCCCAGGAGCTTCAGAATCAGTTGTAGATGGCAAAAAGGGATTCACAGCAAGAAGTTCTTGTCTGCCTATTTTTTTTTTAGTTTTTAACTTCTTCCCTAGGTAAATAAAAAGAAGAATATAGCAGGAACTGAAGGAAAGGTTTGTTTGGGTATTTTTTTCAGCCTTAACAAGAAAAAGTGTTTAAGTTTATTGAATCTCTAAATTTGGTTAAGGGTTAGAAACAAATAGAGGTTTAGGTGGGTTTTAGGGAACAAGCTAAACTGTTGTCCTGCAGTCATTTAGGTTGGAAAAGACCTTTAAGATCATCGAGTCCAACGCTCTTCCCATCTCTTCCCTCTTTAATAGCTGCTCAATTCCATAAGCTGTCCTTTTAAACCTTGTCTCAGTTGTAAGCATGCACTGAGCAGTTCAGTCTGAACAGCAAGACCTCTTTCCCACGCACACACAGTCTGGAACCAGAAACCTTCTTATCCATGAAAGTACCTGGCCCAGGAGTTTCAACCATACATTGCTTGCTAGTGAGACATGGTCCCTCCGCAAATGTGCTTGCCATCAGTTTCTTTTTCAAAACCAGACTGAGTCAGGAAATAGCAACCACTTTTATCATTTAATGTCCTAGAGAAGACAAATGTAGGAATGCCTAAAGTAGGCATTATTGCTTTGAGTGCAGTGGAGTCATGACAAGTATGGGAGTGGTGGAACAAACCCAATAGTAGAAATACTGGACAAAGTATGCTCATTAAAAATGCAGTTACGTGAGCTCATCAATCTAGACATCATACTGCAAGTTGGGATCCCTTGCAGATTACTGGCTTGGAGGGTCAAGCACTCTGGAGGAAGGACACCAAAGAGTTTCAGTCCTGCCTTGTTGTGTGCCAGGTGGATGTCCTGCCTACCAAGGCTACGCAAGTCACAAAATGTTTTACTTGATTATGTGGTTGGGGGAACTGTCTCTGGAAAGAGAAAAAGGTCTTGGCCATATTGTCAAATGGAACTTCTTTGGAACTAAGGTTTCCTGAATTCTTACTCATTGCTTTCAGGGTAGTTTTTTGTGCTCTTATTTTTTGAATACCAAGTAGCTGACACTCAGGCATCTAAGCCCTGGGCTCACCCCTCACTTGTCTTCTTTACCAAAGGTCTCTAGTTATTCTTTTTGCCCTTAGGAATATTTGGTGTGGGGAAGAGGGGCATTAGTTTTTTTTTTTTCCCTCTCCATTCTCCCTACCCCTCACCTGGAAAGATTGCTAGGGATATATGTCTAAGCATTTAAAGTTTTCTACCTCTCTTCTTGCACTGTTTGATGCTTTTAAAAAAGTATGTTTCACTCCTGGGCCCAGTTGCATACCTCCTTCTTCAGATCTAACTCTACATCATACTTTTATTATGCAGTGGAAGTGTTATCTAATTGAGGTTATGAGTTACAAGTCCTGGACTGGTGGTGCTGTTTTTAGCATACAGAGATTCAGCAGACTATGAAGTGCAAAGAGTATATTCTGATTGTTAGGATAATGGCGTTCATTGTTCTGAAACAAGGTGGCAGGAAAACTTCTCTTTATATGAAGTGTCTTGTTACGAAGGATGTCTGCTGAACTGAGAAGAAGGAATTGACCTCAATTCAAGGAGTAAGAAGGGTTGTGAATCAGGAATCTTAATCACAACGTCCTGGAAGAAAGTGAAGAAAGACTGCAAATAGCTTGTCGTAATGCATTTACATCCACAGGATAACTATGCTTTAAAAACAAGCCAAAAAACCCACAAAGTAATGTTGCTCTAATTTGGAATGGGGGAAGCTGTTCAACATTAGTTTTGCTGATACCTGCACATTGTAATGTTAATGTACTTAACGTATTTAGTCATGTGGAAAAAAAAACATGGAATTGCCATTAGTACATCTCCTTAATGACTTTCTGTGCTAACTAACATTGCTGTGTTTATTTCCCTAGATAGGACACTTGCAATGTATTTTGGGAATATAAATAAAAAATGTCTGTTCGCTATTCAGTTTTGCAAACCATTTCCCATGGTGATTTTTAAGTGGTGTCCCTGTCTGAAGGCTGTTTCCTGCCTTCACATTTCTAGTTCTGTCTCTTTAAAAAGGAGAAACAGCTTGTCCTATAAATATTAGAAGTCATTTCTGTTTTACTGTATACTTATTTTTTTCCATTTCTTTTCCTTAGGCAAATAAGAAACTGAGCATGGAAAACAATAACCTTTTAAGAGAGAATTTGCGACTAAAGGCTGAAGTTGATAGTAGATCACCCCAAAAGTACGTGAATATTTTAAAAGCTACCATATTTTATTTATAGACTGTTTAACTGTTGTAGGACTTCAACCTAAAACTGTGGTGGTGTACATGGTGTTGCATATGTGTCTCCAGGTAGACTTTGGAATTTTCATCCTCATGGACTTGGGTGAAAAATGTGACTTAGAAAATAGCAGCAAGTGGGTGAGAAATGCATCTTAGAGAATAGCAGCAAGTCTACAGTGAAGGAATATGACTTGACTACAACTGCTATTCCTTGTGTTACCTGGCCAATGTTGAAGGACTGGATTCATTAGTTGCATTCTACAGTTAACTTGTTACCGGCAAATTTCTGACATCTGGTATATGGTCAAAGTAGAAGGTCTCTTACTAAGTGCAGATGTTCTGGTTGCTTGTGTTTGGGTTTCTTTTGTTCTTCCTTTTGCTGCCTTCGAGGTTTGTTTTGTGGGGTTAGGCTCCCTACTCAAGGAACGTTCCTGATAGCTTTATGTCCAGCAACATATGTACAATTAAGCTTCTGCAGCATGAGACCATCATTCCCAGAACTGACACCTGTGTTTAATACTCTGTCATAAAGAGTTAAAACACCAATGACAATGCCCTCAAAAAGCAGAGACTTTGCCATACTGCTTAGAGCTGTGTTGTAAGGTACCGTTCCTTGGGAGTACTTTTTGAAGCAATATATTGATATTTTTAAAGTTGAGTTCCTTTCTTTCATTAGCTTTCTACCATTTCTCTGTCATTGGTTTAGAAAGTAAAAAGTTAATAGCAATATTGGCCAAAGGTTTATACAGAGCTTTTGAGGAAGTGGGTTTGGAGTCACCTGCATAATATGAGGAAGAGAGCTCTCTGGATTTTGTTCTAGTTCACGACTCACCTGCTGGAAGATAAAATTCATCCTTATAGAAGAGCTTACTTGCCAGACAGCTTTTCATTTGAGACAACTGAAAAGAAGATGCCTGATCCTTGAGCTGTAAATACATAAAAGTACATTCTGCCCTGAAGTTCCTGATAAGATAGAGCCCTGTTTAAGGTCTTGGCGATGGCTTTTTTGGCATGGAATATCTTTTCCCATAAGATTCAAGAGTGAATTGGCAAGTAAGGCAAACTTGAAAACTAAATAAATTTAACTAAATAAATCCTAGAAAAGAAGAGCTAGAAAAGGCCAGATAATCTAAATTGATTTTTGCTTTACTGATACTAGGTAAACTCCCCAGTGGAGATAATTTCCCTTTCTTCTAGCTTGTGCATGCTTTACTATGGTCAGAAAAAATTAGATGTCTGAGGGGCAGGGGTGTGAAGAATTAGTCTTTTAACTTAAAAATAACTGCAAGCCAGTTATTTTTCCATCTTTTACCAGTTTTGCCTAAAACTATAGCCTGTCATTTTCTTCTTTAGAGGCACAGATGTAGCCAAATGTTATTAGAAATTAGTTTCAAGATCTGTCTTGCAACCCATATACGAGCTAGATTTGCCTGTCTGTATCTCTGCTATTAGTTTTTTTTATTATTTTTTCGATCTCCAGTATCACATCCTGCCTGCCTATTGGGAATTATCTTTGACCCATGCTAACTCTAGAACTGCACATAGGATTTAGGACATGAATTGAATTAGGCTTAACCTAGGCTAGGAACAGTTCAAATGCTTCAGGAGTTTGTATGTCTGTACCCTAATTCTGTTATATTCAGTTCTGGCTTTACTTTGGGCCCTGTGGTGCGCGTCAAGAATTTAAGTATATACAGCAAAAAACTTGTCCTGGAAGAAACCCTTCAGCACATTAAATTTAGGAATTTTGCTTCGCCCTACCTGTACCCATTCATTCCTAGTTATGTCTTATAGCCTGAATTTGTCCAGTTCTTCTAGGTAAGTGTAACTTGAGAGAAAAAGTAAAGTTCTGTTTATTTACTTTTGCTCTGCTCTCAGGGGTCTCCAGTGTCTATGGTTTTCTGAAGCAGTAAAGCTTAGAACTGAGTACTAGATTACAAGTCTCAGTAGCACTAACTAGAGCAGAAAAACTATCTTGTGTCTTCTGAAACATCTTATATCTTACAATACCTTTTTCGTTGTTTCCTTTAACCTGACACTTCTAGCACAAATGGCCAGTACCAGTTCTGTCAAATATGTACTTAGAAAGTTACCTTCCTACCTCATTTTGCATTTGTGCTGCTATGTCTCCTTTCAAAGTGTGGGAGTTAACCTATTTACTGGCTTTCTTCAGGTTGATGTTTTGATGCATGTCAAACTTCATTCTTTCAAATTCCAGATGCATCTTTCAGGTGGTGGGAAGTCTCTCCCATCTTAGTGTTGTTAGCAGAATTTTTAAGGTAACTTTCATCCTTGTGGTCATCATTCTGACCAGGTCAATATTCAGACCAGACCTAACATTGAGACATTTTTTTAATGTTCTTTCAGCTCTGATAGCAAACTTTGGTAATATCAAACAGGTCTTTCAGCTGGGCTTCGCACACTGAACAGGGCTTGCAATAAATGTCTTGCTTGTGAAATCAGAATTGAAAGCATAAGCATCAGAGCCCAACAATGTCACTAGAATTAAAAGTTTCCATACAGGTACATTGATTTGCCAGTACAGTTGTTCCAGTGTGCTTTATTCAGAAGTTTTCAGAAGGTAATTTTTGGAAAAGTTCCTGAACGAGTCTCTAGTGCAATTTAAAACAGCTACTGAATTGGATCTTTGTCATTTACTGTTACAACCATTGTTTCATTTGTCATGTGTTCCTTAGCTTCAGAGTTTTAGGTATGGATTCATGCTTAAACAACTGACTAAATTAACTAAATAAAATTAATAAGAAATTTTTCTTTTTAAAGGGTTTGTCAGTATTCAATCCCCGTATCCCAAGTGTATTTCATTTTGTGCATAATGACACTGGAGCTGAAAAGCAAAACTTAAATTGTTTTAGTGGACTTTGCTTTACAGCAGAGGAAATACTAATGGCAGGTGAATGATCCCTTTGTAACACAGACTCTACCTCTTACTTCACAGGAAAAGTATAATTACCCTTCTTCAGTGGTCAATAAAAAACTTTCCTTTTATCATAGTCTTGAGTTGTTTTTTCTTTGTTCGTATCCATTAAAACCTGCTGAAAAATGTCATGTATGTCAATAAAATTGATATTTCAGCCATCTCAGGGATTTTTACACAATTTTTAAACTGATGATGCTGATTGATTAGCTTTTTATTTTTTTTCCTCAAAACATTTTTAAGAGTAGACCTTCACCAGAATTCCATAACATCGTGTAGTTGGGACACAGGTCTGAAAGGCAAATAGAAGTAAGTTTCTTGCTCTGATTCTTATCAAAGACCTCCACTTGTCTCCCATTTCTCAGGCAAATCAGACTGATTGGTGGTGGTTGTTTGCTCTTTGTTTACCCTTTCTCCTGATGAATTTTCAGTGACTTCCATTTTCTCAATGTGGAACAAGAAAACTTCTAAAACTTAAGTTTTGCAGGATGATAAAGCCCTATTACTTCCAGCTCTACTTAAAATAGAAAACTGTTAGGTCTGTTGGCAAGGCACCGTGGATCTAAAAGCATTTTTGGCAAAAGGATGTTTGCTTTTTACCTGAAGGAAAATAACTAGCAAGTCCATCTACTCCAGGGTATAGTGTATTTTATGAATGGTTAGATTCAAATTAGCTTGAACCAGACTTCTAGGCTTCCTAGGAGCCTTTTCCCTAAATATTTAATTCCTTCTGCCAGTTAAAATCCCAGTCTGAAAAACTATCTGTAAAATGCAGAAAACTGTTGCATTATCTCTTTTCTCTGGTTTTGTTTTATTGTTGTAGTTTGAAGAGGGAGGAGGGGTTCTCCATCTCCAGTTTTACTGTTTGTCTTGTCTAGATTTTGACATCAGGTACTTGCACACTGAAATCTAAGGCTGTTGACTTTTTGGGTCATTCATTACAACACTGAATTTTTATCTAACTCAAATACTTCTGCTCATGCCAGAATTTTTAGCTCAGTCTGCATTTTACTGAGCCTACAAATAGGCTTCTAGTAACCTGTGTCCAGGGTGCAGAAGGTAAGAACTTTACTATCTTCCTTGATAGAAAACTGGGCTCTGTTCTTACCTCTCCACAAGTTTGTTATTCCAGAAGAGTGACCATTTTCAAAGACCAGCTGCAGTGTGGCCTTAAAAGTAAGTAGGAGAGCGTAGCCTTCAAAACAACTCTGAGTTATTGAGTCATAGCATTAAATCCTGAGGAAGTGCTCACTCCAGGTGTGAAGGTCTAAACCTTAAGCAGATGGGTAACAACGTTCAGATCACACTCTGGTTTTGTGGATTTTCCAGTAGAGGTTTTTTTTTCCAGTAATTCTGAAGTAATTCTTCCTGGTTTATGCTATTTGCTGACCCTTGGTATAATCTGCCTTTCTTATATGGAAAACCAGTGCTGCTTCACTGAAAGATGTTAAAATGCTTGGAGAGACTTTGCATGTTGGTCTAAATTCACACAATTCCTTAAGTGAAAGGGTAAACTCATTTCAAAGAATGTATCTGACTTGTCTGTTCTGTTTGAATCCTGCTGCTCTACAGTCATCCAGCAAACAGTATATGTCTTGACTTTTTTTTTTTTTTTTTTTTTATTGCTTGCTAGGAAAAGGCCCCTGTCTTACAGTAACTGTTTTTTTCTTCTTATACATGCCTGTGCAAAGATGATGTAGTTTTAAGGCAATTGTATAAAACCTGGGATATTGTCTGATCTGCAGAAACAGGAGATCACCTTTCATAGGTGATGTAGAGGGAGATTGCAGAACTTGTTCTCATATGGCTGCATCTGGTATATGATATCACAGAAGGGCTGTAGAAGCTAGTAAGGCTTTCAGCTGGTTTGTTCTTGGATTTCCTGCCTCTTTCTTCCCACCTAACTGCAGAACCCGAGGGAATATGTGAAAATTTGTATCTACGTGATGGAACTGAATTTGGTTGTACACTCTGGCATTACCCTTATCTCAAACTGTGACAGTCCCTGACTGTGCATTGTCATTTTCCACTTTTCCCTCTTTATTTCCTTTGGAGTATAGATCATGCTTATGCATCCTAAGCTGCCAGGTGGCCCCCAGCCTGAGCCATCAGGTGATTAAAACTAAGAGTCAGTTTCCATAGCATTCTTGCAGCCTCAATCTTCTTCAGTAAGTGATTATACAAGAAAAGTTTGTTGCAGCTGCTTACTATCCACAAAGGGAAATGTTAGTATGAGGTTCTGTGGTTTTAAAGTGAGTTGATATCACTTAAGGACTCAACCAGACAGATGTGCTTCAGTTAGAGGTCACTGATGTGTGAAAATAAAACCCTAAAGCTGAATTTGCAGAACTGATAGATAAGAAGAGAAGAAACAACTGAAGGAAATTCATTTTTCAATTTCCCAAATAGTTTCTAAATGGACTTCTTCAGAAGTTGTCATGGTTTAACCCCAGGCAGCAACTAAGCCCCACACAGCTACTCAATCACTCCCCTCCCAGGGTAGAGGAGTGGAGAAGTAAAGGTGAAAAAACTCATGAGTTGAGATAAAGACAGTTAAATAGGGAAAGCAAAAGCCATACACAAGCAAAGCAAAACAAGGAATTCATTCACCACTTCTCACAGGCAGACAGGTATTCAGCCATGTCCAGGAAAGCAGGGCTCCATCACGTGTAACTGTGACTTCAGAAAACAAACACCATCACACCCTTCCTTCTTCTTTCCCCAGCTTTATATTCTGATCACAGTGCCTTATGGTGTGGTGTATCCCTGGGGTCAGCTGTCCCAACTGTCTCCCCTCCGAACTTCTTGTGCACCCTCAGCCTCCTCACTGATGAGTTGAGAGACAGGAAAAGCTTTGACTCTGTTGTAAGAACAGCACAGGAGTAACTAAAACATCTCTTGTGTTGTCAGCATTGTTTCCATCACAAATCCAAAACATAGCCCCATACTAGCTATTGTGAAGTAAATTAACTGTATCACAGACAAAAGTGGGATAGGAGTACTCAAACATAACTGAGGGAGCAGTTGTGGAATAATGTGTAGGACAGTTACTCCAACATTGTTAGTTCTTCTTTTCACTGTAAATGAGAGCTGACTGTAGCTTTCTGTTAAGTTAGAATCATGCTGGGTCAAGAAAAAGGACTCTGATGGAGGAAAGATCCTGAAATTTGGAATTCAGGTGTTCATCTAGACATCCAGTATCACCTCAGACGCGATAACATATCCAATACACCTTCCTGGGGCTGGTAGCTGTGGTACAGGGTCTACAGAATACGTGTATCCTTCCAAAGTGATAACTGGAGGCCAGCAGTCATGTGAAATATTATAGGTGATCTAAAATATCATTAAGTGTGTGTGTTGAAGAATCCAAATCCTATCTGAAATGTCTTTCTGTTCACTTTATGAGTGACCACTTATTTCTCCAGGCTTTCAATTTTCTATAGAAAGGATGCATTCAACACACATGCATTGAGATACAAAGTCATTGTTTCAGTGATGCGACAGAAGAATAAGACACTAATGCTCAAAAGTCTTTGTCCATGTGTGAGGGCGTGGCTTTCCTTCCGTATATGTATGCTCTTTATCACATGTATGCTGAATACCTTAACTAATACTGAAGAATGCATCAACTTGTTACTAAGTGTGAAATAGTTCAAATACTTCAGGAAATTTATCTAGATTGTCAGGTGAAATTTAAATTTATTTTCATATAACTGTACTGCATTCTGTTGTTATTATCAGACCATAATTTTTTCATTTATAACATAGCTCACTGTACATCTGAAGGGAAAAGAAGAGGAAATCTCTTATGAGTGGTTTGGTTTGGGGAGATGAGCAGGATTCTGGCTTCTTTAACCAAAATGTGAATGCCTTAAACCCTCTGCTGACCTTCTAGGTCAGTCAGTAGAACACCTATGTCATACTCTGGTCTGGAGTAATTGGCTTAATATGTGCATAGTAATAGGACTGTCTTAAAAATCCATGTCCTTGAAAATTTGGGAAATAAATGCATGCGAGTCTCAAAGCAGAAACAGAAAGCAATTACTGTTCTTTGCCTAACTGCAGAAGTAACTTTGTAGGCAGCTTGTCATATGTTTCATTTCTGAAAACCAAAATTCCCAAGCACATCCCTCTGCAACAATTAACATATTAGTGATGCTATTTGCCTTTGAACAACATACTGTATTTTTTTAACCTGAGGACACTTGTTATAAAAGTTACACTTGAGAATACAGTGCTTCTTCCTCATAAGCAAATCTCAGACTGTCACTAATGCTATTTGCATTAAATAAACATATTACACCATTCTTCCATTAAAAAGGAATTACCAGGTATGCATATAAATGTAAACATGTTTTAATTTTTATGTCAGAGTGTCTGTTACAGCAGACTCAACAAAATCTTGCTTATTTTACTGAAGCATTTTTCCCTTTCTCTCACTTGGCTATTCAGATAAATTGTATTACTGCATTATCTTTCTATCTTTTATTAAGCAGTGTAGGGTTTGCACCTGTAAGATAATGTGAACAGGTCTGTTAGAGAAGGGCAAAATAAATACTTTTGGATCATCTTAAGAAGTGGGAAAGGTCTTGCTTGGGCTCTGCTATGCTACACTGATTCCTTCCATATTGTAAAGCAAAATCTATGTTCCTTTAACTGAAGAAGGAAATAAGCCAAAATGTGTTGTATAGGAGGATGCTTATTTCATGTAACTCACTTCACCTGGCAATATAATGGAAACATTCTTGAGCTGTGATTCTCTTTTATCTAGTCTCATAGGGGAGACAGAAAGTTGTCTGTGCCTTTTTTCCCATTCCCTTCTTGTGTGCAGCTAGAAGTGGAGAAGGTGCTATAATCGATTGAGAAAACTTATCCGGAGCATAAGCAAATGAAAAACGTTCTGTCTTTTCTACGAACACAAAGAAAATTGGGTAGAGCTACTGTGGAGGTGGGAGGATCCTTGCCTTGATTGAGTTCCAATCTAGCCAGCTTCTTGTAGGGGAAAAAAAAATTCTTACTAAATATGAATTTTGTATCTTGGCATTTTTTTTTGTCAACTAGGCAGTGAGTGGCACATACCGAAACTCCCTGAAGCTTAGGCTGATCTGATTTTACAAATCATCTAATAGCAGTGCTTTGACAGAACTTAGACTGTTGTGTGAATCTTACCCACCACGGAACCATCTAGACCAAAGTCTTCAGAGTTCTTCAAATATACAGAAGCAGTTGAATGGTGAAATGTATCAGTAGATCTGGTCACTTGTGCCCAATTTGTTTGTGGCTTGTGATACCTGTTATTGCTTTCCCCAACTACCCACTCGATTGTGTTGCAGTTGTCAGCATACAACAGTTTCTTGCTGCTTTGGGCTCATGAATTAGAAGAAATAGAATACAGTTTGATTGTTTGCTGGAAATGCATGCATGGATCCATGGATATTTTGCCAGTATAGTTGCAGGCCACAGATATACCACCTTCAGATTTCACTCTTCTAAGGGTTGCAGTGGGAGCATTTTGTGAAGAGGTGAGGGGATGGAATGGGGAAAATGGAATGTAAATTCACTGTGACTCTGAGGGAGGGACAGGCAGACAGACAGAGAAAAAAGGTAGAAATTCCAGGCAGTGTTTGTGCTGGAAGAGTGAATATAAACTTATGCTGTAACACAGAGATGCAAGATGGGAAGTGGAGATTTAGTGTAAGCCCACATACAGAACTGTCATTTCTTTGTGATATAAAACCTTATTTGTTAGAGTTGTAGGGTGGCTGCAGGTCCTTCCCTCCTTTCTAATAATACCAGAACTTTAATTGTTTTTTCTTTTTATAAATTGAAAGCCTTGGATGGAGCAGGGAATTCCCTGGTGCTCACCTGTCAGTGACAGGTTAGAATTAGTCAGGGCATGTAGCTGAAACCTTCACCTGCCCTCTGGAGAAGGTCAGTCTTGAAAGCTGGTGGAGGATGGGGGAAGGCAAGTCCGTATCTTGGCAGTTGAAAATGTGCTGAAGCTGGAAGCCCCACAAGTACACAACTTTTACAAACCACAAGTGGCAGGTTTTTGTACTGGAGTCAAGGTAGAAATTAAATTGTTCCAGTTGTAAAGCTCAAAAAACAAGTAACTCTGAAGTAAGTGGATATACTGTCCATGGAACGGGGGAGGAAAAGCTGTATATCTAACAGGAACATAATTGAAATGGTCTATATAAGTATTTAAACCACCTCAAAGACTATTGCATTTTCTGCATTTCATATTGGCATTTTGTATTTGACAAGGTGACATTGTGAAAGAAATGTGTTGTAAAACACTGCTGTACTGTAGGAAAATGATTGAATGTAAATATTTCAAGATGTGGACCACTGTTCAAATGTTATCATAAATCTTTGCCATTGTTTTAGGGGATAATTCTTCATGCATATTTGAGTTGAATTGATAGAACCAGCCCCTGGAAGGGTAATCTGTGTGTTATTGCCTTGCTACCACTAATTTTTTTAATTTTGTCTTCTTGCATATCACCCATCACCTCCACCTGTATGTTATTTGTGATGATTTTAGTATTTTTTTCATAATTAACAAAGAAAAGTTATAACTTTTTTTTTCAAATTAACACAGTGTTTAATCGCTTTGCTCTGTCTTCAAATGAGCTTGCAAGGCATCATGAGAATGTCTTTTTCCAGCTTAATATTTTCTTTCTTTTTTACTCATTGCAGGTTTGGTAGGTTTACAGTAGCTGCACTTCAGTCCAAAGTGGAACAAAGTGAACGTGAAATGAACCGTCTGAAAAAGGCACTGGAAAGAAGTGATAAATACATAGAAGAAATGGAGTGTCAGCTTTTACAGCTGAAAAATGCAGGCAAAGGAAGCCAGACAGTGAGTGCTGTTAGTGAGAGAGCACTTTCCACAGATACTGAAGGAGGTGAGAGCAGTGAAGATGCAACTTGTTTGAAAACCCCAGTTGAGGAGAAAAAAGCTTTGACTACCAGTCAAAGTCCTGACAGTCTTGAACAGCTGGCAAGTCGTGGAACTTGTTTGAGCTCTTCTAGTCAAGATAGTTTGAATAGCTCAAATACCCAGCGTGCCACAGAGAAAGAACTATTTCCAAGATGTCATAGGGTTGTCCTGGATGAAAATAGTACAAATATGGATGCCTGCTTAGAAGAGCAGTGGAATAAAATTGGGGAATGTACCCCATATAAGGATGAAGAACTTTATGATCTTCCACCACCATGTACACCTTTTCTGTCTCTCAGTCGCCTTCAGTTGAACACTCCTGATGGAAAAGAAAATGCAAAGAAACCATCAACATTCCTGAGAAAACTGAAATTTGAAGAGTTTCATGGCACTTCAGATGGTGGCAGCAAAGCTTCTCCTGAACGCAGCACAAGCAGCTGTAATAGTCAAAAGAAGCTAAACTGTTTTACTACAGGAAAATCAGGGGTTTGGGGCACCTGCCCAACAAATTTTGCTGAAAACTTAGATTTTGAGGAATCAGAGCAAAATTCAGTGGCTGATCAGTCAGATGAGACAACAGCGAAGTCTGGTGATAAAACGAGTTCTTGCTTACCTAAAAGGCTACATACTCTCTGCTCTTCGGAAATGAATCGCACAAGAACCTCCAGTGAGGCATCTATGGATGCTGCCTACCTCGATAAAATTTCTGAGTTGGACTCAATGATGTCTGAGTCAGACAACAGCAAGAGTCCATGCTATAATTTCAAGTCCTCTGATCTTGATAATTCTTCAAGGTCAACAGAGTGCCCTAAGGTTCTGAATGGAACTGAGAAGAAACTGGAAGAAATGAATGAGGAACAGACAATGAAGTGTCCAGAGACAAGTGATCTAGCAGCTGATAGAACTGGCTGGAAACCTGCTATGTTTTCCAACCTCTCCCCATCTGACCTCGATATGAATGACCCCTTTCCGCTGTTTACAAGCCAAAATGCAGTGGCTAGCGGTAGCAAACCTCCGAACTCTTTATTTCAAAGGGAGTTTTCCCCAACTATACTGTTCAGTAACTCACAAAGGTTGTTTGAGGAACAAAAGGTTGGTTCCTGTTTTTTGAAGATGTCATCTGATCTGCACAGTCAGCTTAGTCCTCCTTGGGTGTCTTCCTTTACAGCTGAAAGGAAAAATAAAAATGTCAGTCAGTCAACCAAGAGGAAAATTCAAAACAGCCTTTCCAGTGCTAGTCCATCAAAAACCACCAAAAACTGACTCTTCTTGGAAATCAAACGTGATTTAAAGTGATAAACCTGCAAATGTTTAATATTTACAAGTGAACTGAATTTTTAATAACTTCATGCAATCTGATCCTGTCATTCTCAGCTATGTGAAAACTGAACATTCCCTTGCCCATTGCAAGCTCTTTCCTAGGGAAGAACCATTCCAGATTCTTTTCTTTGACTGGGCATTTTATGTACTTGGAAGTTTGGGGGGTTTGGGTGTTCTTTTGTTTTCAGATTACATGCTCTTCCAGTTGTGAGCACAGCTAATGGCTCCCTTGAACAGGAAGTTCTAAGTGGACTTACCAAATCAGTCATTCCTGTGAGAATTAGTTTTAAAGGTTACGTTTCCTGTTCCTAAAGATTGTGGGTTTTTGCATGTAAGGCAGCTACTGGCTGTATATCCTATGGATTCATGAAGTTGCTATAAAACAACGTCAGTTTTGCCATAAAACTTTCCTCCCAGAGGAAATGTTGCTGCTCAAACTGTTTCATAGCACTGTACTGTACTGAAGCTCTTGTTTTAGGTGGGTATAAGAGAGCAGCCTTTCTTTTTAGGGTTACAGCACTTCAGTTAGAAAACATCTCTTCTTTAACACTGCAATCATGGTTTGTCTTTTTTTGAAGTTAAGCACAATTTTTAATTTAGTTCCCAAAAAGCATTGTTATTCTAAGTGTGTTTAGTATGCCTGTATAGACCATAAAAATGGGTTTGTATGCTAATGACTTGTTTACCTAATGTGCACTGAACATCTTACATTAATACTGTACCATTTCACATTAATACTGCATGCTTTTCTATGTGAATTGAATAAAACATGTTATAAGCACTGTAATCCTTGATGTTGCCTCAAATATTGAATTAAAAAAAAAAAGAAAAAAAAAAAGGGGGAAACTTTTTTTTCCCCTAATTTGGAAAATAAGTATCTTAAGTTTTGTAAAGCATGAATGTGAGCTTATTCATAAAAAAAAATAAATCTCCCCTCCTCCTCCTTGTTAGACATACTACCATTCTAGTGTCAGCATCGATACAGTTGATGGAAATGGCTTTCGGCCTCTCTGGAGGTGACTTTTCCATAAAGTATTGCATAGGTCAACATAATGTGATGGCCTGCCACAGGCAGGAGACCTAATTAAGCAGCAGAGCAAAATTGGTTTCTTTGCATTATTGTGGGTTTTTTTAAGGGCGTATTTAATTACAAGATGCAGGTTTTTTCTTTCTGTATAGGCCTCTGATGGCATTTCTTGGAAACAGGCGTCCTCACTTCATCAATACCTGTGATATGAAAAATCCATACACTGCCCTTTGTCCCTTCGGAAAGAGTGATAGCCACTTGGAAACTTTCAGTAGACTGGCTTATCTTTTGTAGAGTTAAGTCCTGAAAGACTACAAGAACAACAACTACATTTCACATTGTAATGTGAACATGAATTTGTGTAATTGTGTTCGTTCTAAACTGGGATTTTTCTTTTTTGAGCTTTACCAAAAAATCATTGTTCAAGCCATACATGCAAGGACTCTTTCCTGATGACAGGCAGGATGGCATTGTGCTTTCATATGTGGCTTTCAGTATACCACTTGAATTCTAATCTTCACAAAAAAATCTATTTGTTCAATTTTAATGTATTTTTTCAAAAATTAGGGAGTTCTCAAAACCATCTGGACATGAGCTGTTACTTGATTTGGCTAGTTTTACTAATAAATCAAAAAATACTGCCACAAACACTTTCTTAAAACATCCTTGTGTTACAGAACAATCACAAATACACAGTTAATAAGTGCTATGGGTTGTGGGTTTGTTTAATTGTGGCATTGGGGTGAGTGAGGGGGTGTGTTCATGGTCTTCATTTTAGACTCTGTTTTTTCATTTTTCCCTTTCAGTTATGGAAACATTAATACAACTGGTGTCATGCCTGAAATCAAACTAAAATAAAAGAAAACAGTGGAGTTATTTTATGCTTCTTTGTAGTCCTTTGTTCAGGAACACCACATACAGGCTTGCTCTTCAATAGGTGTATTTTGGCTATACATATCATGCAACTTGAATGGATAGAAGAGCCAAGCCCAAGATTAAATGCTGAAAATCAAGATCATAAATTTCTTACTCTCCAGGCTGGAAAGGGAGCGGGGCATCAGACTGAGTGCTGGCTTTTCACTTGGAATGGTTGTGGGAGCTTGTATGTTGTATAGCCTCCCAGCTCTGGGCTGGTAACTTTCTACACAGTTGCAAGGAAGCTACCATCGTTATCTGTAATTACTTGATTTCCAAGCTCTCTCATACCCTCAGATCTCAGCCACAGCTATAGTGAGCAGATTGTGATTTCATCCAGTGCTGTAAATAGAAGCATTTTACGTGTCACAAGTTGTAAAGGTGAAACTGTTCTGAATTCTTGTCTTATTTGGTTAATGTAGATTGCATTCCTTTTGGCTTAAAATTGGTAGTGTGATCAATGCAATATCAACTCAATAATTTCAACTATATGTAATGACTAGGGTTTCTTCACTTATTTGTCAGCTGTACATGGGGTTTCTTTCAGTTTTCCAGGTTGTATTCTGTCAATGCTGTGTTTGCTTAATGCCTTTCTGCATTTAATAAAACAGCCTAAACTAGAGTTCATTGCTGGTAATTTCTGACAATAGACATTTCAAAGTGATGTACAGAAGAGATCTATGGTGTCTAATGATATTTAATAGCTCACAAAATTTTTACTTCATCTAATAATCCCTCCTATACTAAATGCAAGGCAACTTGCAGATTTTCACACAGGAGAATGCTTTCCAGGACAATAGGTAACACAGAAAAATGAGTTTTTTACCAGCCTAGGTTTGTTGCCTGTGAAATCTGCTGGGTTATACATAAAAGCAAGAATGCCAAGGTCAGGTTTTTACTTTGTTATTGGCAGGTTTTTACCTGCATGAAATCTAGCAAGTGACCTGCTTCTCCATGATTCCCTAAAGGCTTTGTGGGAGCCTATTTCTGCCCAATTCATTCTTGGATGAGGGCTGCCAGAACAGCGCTGCCTGCCAGCACCAGATAGTGACTTGAGCTGTGTTTGGTTTTGGTTTTTATTGTCTCTTTGATAATTATCCTTAAAAAGGGAGAAAGGGGACAATGAATAGCTTGTACACACAATACAAGGTGTGCTAATTTGGGTCTCCCATCCTTCAACGTTCTTCATCTCACTGTTTCACTCCCTCAGTAATGCCATTTAAAGGGAGTTTAAACTGACTGAGTCTGATCCTAGTTCTTGCACAGCATCGAAGTCATGCCTCTGACTGCTAGCAACCCCAGGCTTGAAATACAGTCTTTACACACCTCTTCTGTGCTGTGGTTATGATAAATGTTTTGCAGACTGTGGACACTCCTTCCTTGCTACTTTTTGGCATGGGACCATCATGTGTATATAGACTAATGCTTCTCACTTCCTCCTTCCCAGGTTTAGGTGAGAGGAAGCGCAGCTCTAAGGTAATTCATGGTGATTCCAGGGATTTCCCTGCTGGCTAGTAACACAGGTCCAGCCCTTCCTGTGCCTTCATCACTTGCAGCAGTGACAAGTCTACTGCTGTGACAAGCCACCCACTTGTCAGGCCTGGTCTAAAGGGGTGGCCTATCTGTCTTGTCTTTGTGGCCCAAAGTTGAGCTATTTCCTCAGTGTCCCTTAGCTCTAACTGGAAAAGCCATCATCATTGGCTGAAGTGTTGAGGGAAAAGCACAGCTGGCATAGGAGAAAGCTTATATATGCTTTGACAGCTGTGAATGTAGTGAGAGACAGCAGCAGAGGATGAAACTGTATTCTGGTTTCTTTGGCTTTTCTCAATAGAAAGCAGTCTCCCTTCTGAAGCTCTTAGAGGCAGTGTGGGTGCTGTCTACTGGTTTTCGGGGAAGCTAGGCGGACAAGTAGCCAAGCTACCTACCAGGCAGCTGCCACTCCTACCTGATGCTTGTTGGGCCGTCGGGTACTGGTTTCAAGCCAGCAGAATGTGTCAGGGGAGCCCGGGGACCAGGCACTGATGAGAAGGGTCCCTGTCCCTTTCCCAGGTCACTCTGCTTGGTGCATGCCTGGGAAAGCAGTGGGGACCAGCTGCAGGGCTGGATGGCTACGTGGGCATCCAGACCTCACAGAAAATGGTGTCAGGGTTTTTTGTTTGGTTTTTTTTTTTTTTCCCCTGGTCGCCTTAGAGCTGTCTCCAAATTTTGGGGAGAGAAGTGTCAGCCAGGAAGGCGGCACGAGCCTATATTCCCTGACCAGAGGGTGGCGAGGGGATGCACCTGCCCCCATCTCCTCCCACCCGGGGCTAGACCTCCACCTGCTTGTCCAGGATTACGGTCTCCAGCTCGGAGAAAAGGCCAGGGGAGGCCAAGGTGTCCCGCAGGCTCGCTCCTCTCCCTCCCCGGGCTCCCCCGCCCCACGCAAACCCGCATCACAGGTTTGCTTTGGGGGTTTTTTGTGAGTTTTTTTTTTTTTTTTTTTTTTGTTTTTTGTTTCTTTTTTCCCACCTTCATTATTAACAAAACCCGGTGATTAAGACTCGAAACTAACAAAGAGTTTTTATTCCACCTTAACCTTGCACACAATCCTTTAACAAATTAATTAATCCTAATGAATTAACACTTCATTTATTTAAACGCGCTACAGTTCATGAATTAAATTTTCATGCAGTGATTAAAGGCTGTTAAAATATGCATGATTTCGTTAAAATTTTATAATAAATCAGGGCAATGTGTTACATGACAAGGCAACTACTTCCCAGCCCCTCGGAAGGTGCTTTGATTCGCGCGGGGGGACTGGGGAAGCCGAGCGCTCCGCTCCCTGTTTGAGCAGCCGAGCGGACCCCAGAGCGCGATGAGACGCGGCTGACGATCGACCCCTGCCCCTTCCGACCCCTCTCCGTGTCTTTCCGGGAGGAGGAAAGCTGCGTTTTCAGGCTAACCCATCGAAATGTGACGTCCTTGGAGCGAGAGCGCGGGCCAGCAGCTGGTTTGCCCACGGAGCAGGTGTGAAAAGCGAGCAGGGTCTGGGAAGTGTTTTGCTGGAGGGGCGTCTTGGTTAGCTTTTAATTCCTCCGCATCACTTTTAAGAAAGAGCGAGAAACTTTACTGTCGACGGGACCTGTAGTGTTTTCCACCGGACCTCTGCTTGGCTCCTCCGGTCTCCTTCCTTACCCGAAAGGGGACGTTGTGAACTACCTTGGGACTTAAATCACCATCAAGCGTTTCAATTTTTAATATGACAACATTCTACACTTTGGCTGCAAAAGCAATTATTGCGGCTTGTACATCAGTAATTAGCTGATCTTTGCTGATGTAAGGAAAGTCCTCATTAGGACAAGGAAATACTTTTTGTGCATTCACCCAAAGGGTTGGTTGGGTTTTGTTGTGGTCCTTTTTACTTTTTTTTTTTTTTTAATGAAGGTTAATTTTCATCATCTAAATGGAAAATAACTTTTGCACTAAATAGGATATTGACTTTCTGTGAACTTCACCAAATAACACATGTACTGTAGTTCTCTCAGTGCTCCCACTGACACTCAGGGTAGGACAAATACTACGACTACAAAATGTAAAGCTAACATTTGGTGAAATAAAAATACCCAGAAGATTTAGAGTGAGCGTTGAGATCCATATTAACATTTTTTTTGAAGTCGAGATATACAGCAAACTATAATCAGACGTTAATACTTAATATCATAAGCTTTAGTATATTTATCTTTGGGGAATCCTAAAAAGAGAAATCAAATACAATGGGTTACAGTAATTAATTTATAAATCGTTTCACTGTGGGAATAAGGGGTTACTTTATTACTTTCTCGAGATAGGCAGTTCGGTCAATTAAGGAAATCTGCTTATTTCTTGCATTTGAAGCCGGACAAAACTACGAGAGACATGTAAATGCGTTATATATATATTTATATATATATGCCTCCTTCGCTTTACTGAGCATCTCGGGCCATAAAAGTAGGGCTACACCACGGTCGTGTCGCCAATGAACTCACTCCTCAAAGCCTGCGAGTTTATTGCCATCAGTATTCATGAGGCTGGACGTACCCACGAGGAACAGAAATAACAGCGAACATTAAGATAAAATCTATTACCAGGCCCGTGCGATTCTGAGCCTGGCTCAAGCCGTCTGCCCGGGGAGCTGACTGTGTATGGCAGGGAGACGAGGGGCCGCCGGCGGCTGGTGACAAGGGGAGCTCATCCCCGGCGTGCCCAGGGGAACCCTCCGGGGCAGCAGCCGCTGCACTCGGTGTAGCAAAGGGGAACAGAAGGGCTGCGACGCTGGAGCGGGAGTTAGGGGCTCTAATTTGGAGCATTGATTTAAAAGTTAGCTTGAAGTTAGCGCTTCACCTCTTAAAAAAAAAAAAAAAAAAAAAAAATTAGAAAAATTGTTCCAAGGGCAGCGAAGGAAACTTTTACCTCCCGGACTGCGGACTTGATAAGTGACAGACCAAACAGTGCCCTAAAAAACCCTCTTGTCCTACTCCTCCTTTCTCTTGAAAGATCAGACAGAGGGAAAACTTTGCTGCAAGTCCCTGCGGAGGCTTTTGCCTCCGGGGCAGCAGGGGGCAAGGGGCGGGGGCCCTCGGGCGGCCGCTGTGATCGAGGCCCGGGCAGTTTCTGTGACTGGAGTGAGGAGCTCTTGAGAGGGGGTGTCTCTCCATCCGGGAGGGACTGCTTCATCCCCGAGGAGTAACCAGCAGGATGCATATCGCAAGCTGCAGAAACAGCGTGCCCACCCGCAACCCGGCGTCCAAAAGACACCGGGGAGGTGGGACAGCACCCTTAGAACTTCTAAAGGTCCTCACCTCCTTAGCCTCCGGCTGGTGCTAGGACGGAGGTGTGAGTGGGGCTGAATTCTCTGCCTTTCTAGCCAAAAAAAAAAAAAAAATAAAATAAACCTGTGAACAGAAGGGGTCGTTTTAAAAATACTGGCAGGGGCTGATGTTCCT